AAATTTTACTCATAAATCGCATTCGCTGAATGTGTTTTATGTCTTTCATTCTCAGTTGTTACTATTTAGGTATGTGAGAAAGGTTTTTTAAAATTTTCAATGACATGGCATTTTTTTAAAAGATAAAATATTTATATTTTCTTGATATTATAAAATTAATAAATATATTTTAAAAATAGAGGACAAGTAAATTTAAACTGAAGGGGTAATATAGTAATTTCAATAATAAATAAGAAGACACGAAATTTTACTCATAAATCGCATTCGCTGAATGCATTTATGTCTTTCATTCTCAACTCTTACACATAAATCGTATTCGTTGAATGCGTTTTATGCTTTTCTGTCTCAACTCACTTAATGTTGAGTATAAAATAAAAAATAATTATTTTTTCTCGATATGATAAAAGTAATAAATAAAAGAAATAAATGAATTTTAAAAATAATGGACAAATAAAATTAAATGGAAGGGGTAATAACATAATTTCAACAATAAATGAGAAGAGACTGAAACTTACACATAAATTGCATTCGTTGAATGAGGTTTATGTCTTTAGTTCTCAGCTCAATTAATGTTAAGTATAAAATGAAAAATAATTATTTTTTATCAATATATTAGAGTAATAAATAAAAGAAATAGATATATTTTAAAAATATTGGACAAATAAAATTAAATAGAAGGGGTAATAACGTAATTTCAACAATAAATGAGAAGAGACTAAAACTTACACATAAATCGCATTCGTTGAATGCAATTTATACCTTTCTTTCTCAACTCAATTAATGTTGAGTATAAAACGAAAAAATAATTATTTTTTCTCGATATGATAAAAGTAATAAATAAAAGAAATAAATATATTTTAAAAATATTGGACAAATAAAATTAAATAGAAGGGGTAATAACGTAATTTCAACAATAAATGAGAAGAGACTGTAATATACACATAAATTGCATTCGTTAAATGCGTTTTATGTCTTTCTTTATCAGCTCAATTAACGTTTAGTATAAAATGAAAAAATAATTATCTTTCCTCGATATGATAAAAGTAATAAATAAAAGAAATAAATATATTTTAAAAATATTGGACAAATAAAATTAAAATGGAAGGGGTAATAATGTAATTTCAACAATAAATAAGAATAGACTGAAACTTACACATAAATCGCATTCTTTAAATGTGTTTTATTCATTTCTTTCTCAGCTCAATTAATGTTTAGTATAGAATGATTTTTTTAAAATATTTTCTCGATATGATAAAAGTAATAAATAAAGGAATAAATGTATTTTAAAAACATTGGACAAATAAAATTAAAATGGAAGGGGTAATAACGTAATTTCAACAATAAATGAGAAGAGACTGAAACTTACACATAAATCGCATTCGTTGAATGTGTTTTATGCCTTCAACTCAATTAATGTTGAGTATAAAATAAAATAAAAATATCTTTTCGCGATATGATAAGAGTAATAAATAAAAGAAATAAAATAAAATTAAATGAAAGGGGTAATAACGTAATTTTAACAATAAATGAGTAGAGACTGAAACTTACACATAAATCTCATTCGTTGAATGCGTTTTATGCCTTTCTTTCTCAGCTCAATTAATGTTGAGTATAAAATGAAAAAATAATTATCTTTTATCGATATTATAAAAGTAATAAATAAAAAAAAATGTATTTTAAAAGTATTGGACAAATAAAATTAAATGGAAGGGGTAATGACGTAATTTCAACAATAAATGAGAAGAGACTGAAACTTACACATAAATCTCATTCGTTGAATGCGTTTTATGCCTTTCTTTCTCAGCTCAATTAATGTTGAGTATAAAATGAAAAAATAATTATCTTTTATCGATATTATAAAAGTAATAAATAAAAGAAATAAATATATTTTATAAATATTGGACAAATAAAATTAAATGGAAGGGGTAATGACGTAATTTCAACAATAAATGAGAAGAGACTGAAACTTACACATAAATCGCATTCGTTGAATGCATTTTATGCTTTTAGTTCTCAGCTCAATTAATGTTGAGTATAAAATGAAAAAATAATTATCTTTTCTCGATATAATAAAAGTAATAAATATATATAAAAATATTGGACAAATAAAATTAAAATGGAAGGGGTAATAACGTAATTTCAACAATAAATGAGAAGAGACTGAAACTTACACATAAATCGCATTCGTTGAATGCATTTTATGTCTCTATGTCTCAGCTCAATTAATGTTGAGTATAAAATGAAAAAATAATTATCTTTTCTCGATATAATAAAAGTAATAAATAAAAAAAATATTTTTAAAATATTGGACAAATAAATTTAAAATTTAAGGGGTAATAACGTAATTTCAACAATAAATGAGAAGAGACTGAAACTTACACATAAATCGCATTCGTTGAATGCATTTTATGTCTCTATGTCTCAGCTCAATTAATGTTGAGTATAAAATGAAAAAATAATATGATTTTTTCTCGATATAATAAAAGTAATAAATAAAAAAAATATTTTTAAAATATTGGACAAATAAATTTAAAATTTAAGGGGTAATAACGTAATTTCAACAATAAATGAGAAAAGACTCTTGTTGATTTTTTTTTATATACTCTTATAGTATCATTGCCTAATGAGTAATTTTTCTTAACAAGAAACATTAATGATACCAATACAATATATATATATATATATACTGGTTTAATATCAATTAAGCGAAATTATCAGTCTTAATGATACCAATACAATATATGATAGTGATTTAGTATTAGTTAAGCGAAATTATCAGCCTTAATGATATCAATACAATATATGATACTGATTTAATATCAATTAATCAAAATTAGTTGGGGATATAAAGTATAATTATTTAGTGGGGTATAAATATAAATGAGTATATGTTTGTAGCTATTTTGCTTTTTAAGGGTTATTTGCTTAGTTTCCCCATAAAAAAAGATTTTTCTTTCTTGATTTGTCAAAAATGACAAGTAAACAGGGACAAGTAAGAAAGGACATGTATAGTTGGTTTAAATGTCATGTTTGTTTTGATTGTTACTTAAATTATATTTTATCGTATCGTTTAAATTTATTGCTAGGTAATGATGAAAAGACTCATTTTATGTAGCGCAAATTATTTCTTTCATACCCGAACTAAATTCTCGTCAAATTTAGGGATGTTTTCAACACTTGTTTCGACTTTTTATTAGGAGTTACATGTCATACAAGAGTTTGAGACCACTTGCTATATCTTGTAGCAAATTGGGGGTGTATTTAAGTTCAGTTAGTCAAGTAGAGAGATGTTTTAAAGCTGTCAATAGTTTGAGTATGAAACTAAGAATTTACACTTAGTTTAGAGATGCTTTCAATACTTCCCTTGTATAAATTAATGTCTTTGAAAAATATAAGGAATGAAGATATTTGGGATCCTATCAACTAATATGTATAAAATGGTAAATTCACTATAACAATTAATATTTTTTTAATATATATGTAAGTGAAAATCTTGACAAGTAAAAACGGACGTAAAATCTTTAATATATTAAAGGTTGGTGATTGGTTGAACAAAAAAGAAGAGGAATCCGACGTGTAGGCGAGTGGCAGTGGATTATCCAATGTGGCGCGTACACTTCATAGTTTGTACCGTCAATTGGTTGACGGGGATGGGGGTAGGGGTGTTCTCATCTCAGTACATTTCAATCTCTCTCATCACTCCACAAGAATCTCTCTCAACTCCTCTTCTTCCTTCACTCTCAAATCTATGTATGATATTTTCTCTTTTGGTTTTTGAATTTGCTGAAACTGTACCTTCTCCCTGTTATTTCTTCTTTGTTTGGGTGATGCAGGATATTAAGAAGATTTATGATATAACACAGCACAAAGTTGCTTGACACCCTTTGATCGACAAGGATTCTCAGGTAAGTTTCACGGTTTTTAATTTTTTGTGGCGAACCTAATTTTTGTCTGCATGGAACATTTTTAGGTGAAGTTGAAGTTTTAATCCAAAATTGATAGGCAAAAAACTTAAACCTAATTCTCCAATTCGCAATAGTTAACTCCAACCAAAGAAAAAAAAAACTAATTTTGCAAGAATGTGAAGAAATCAATTATACATATCGTAATTGGTCTTATGTAGTAACAAAGGAACAACCTTGCTCATTGGTGTTAGACCAACAATTACCTTTGTTGGACTTCTTGCCATGAGTCTTATTTTGGACAAACACAAAGTAATTATTTTTTAACTTTTATTTTTCTCATCAACATGCACCTGCTCGATGAGATATGTAGTTTCGACCACCTTAGGATTGAGTTCATCGAATGATGAGTCTTCCATCAATTTTTCCCATGAGTACACCGACAAGAGAGTCAAAACACGAAGAAGTAGGTGTGTTAGAGTTAGAATAAGAGAGTCATCTCTCTTTTCTTTTCTCTCGATCTCACTTGGCATCCCATTCTCTTCACATAACACAACCTCTCCTATTTCTTCTTTTGGGATGTCAACATGTACTCCCTTAATCCTCCCAATTTTTTCTCTCTCATCATCATCATCATCATCTTTCATTTCTCTACGTTTTTGTAATCTCACAAATTTGTGATGGAGTCAAAGATGCGAGAGCAAATCTCTCCGTATTCATCTTGAGAGAGTATTTATTCTTTTCTATGTTGTATGCAGATCCTTTATTAGCATACCATGATTTTCCCAATAATATCTGACAATTATACATGGGAACAACAGCACACCAAACTATCCTCATAACTTCCAAGAGTGAACGACAATAACACCCCTTTTTATCTTTATTCCTTTCCACATGTAGGGTGAAATAAGCTCAATACAAGGTAAGTTCAATCTTTCAACCATACAAGTGCCAATTAAGTTTATAGCTAGACTCTTTATCAATTCTCATGGCACATAGCTTAGACAACACTTTAACTCTAGTTTAGTAATACTGAATAGTACATGTTTAAATTTAGGAGCAAAGTCATTTGATCAATTCATTTCCTTTTAAATGTAGGCCTTGGTTTAGTAAATTTTAATTTTTAAATTCTAATTTGGTGGTGATTAAGTGGTTTTAACTGGTGGCTACACTGAAGTTGGTAGCTATGGCATGGGGTGGTGGCTACATGGAAGGGAACCTGATGGAGAGGAGGAAAGACAAAACTGAAAAAGAAAAAAAGAAAGATCAATTAAAAAAAAAATTGAAGAGAAAATTACAAATAGGATTAAAAAAAGAAGAAAATGAGGTGGCATCATGTGATTGGTTCTTGTGTTTCACATATTGTTGTAAAACTGGTGCTTGTCAGAAAAGGGGTATTTACACCTTTTCAAACGATTATAGGGGGATCTTAGGACCCTGGCAAAGTTTACATGTTCAATGGAAAAAATGGGACAAGTCTTGCCTTTATGTCAAGACATGAAGAAGCTTTTGTTTTTGAGCTTTCTGTGAGAGATTTGATGGACTAACTTTTCAAGGAGGGAGCAAAAGCCACAAGAAGTGGTGGAGATAATACCCCAATGCATTTGGTGGACTGTTTGGAGAGAAAGAAATGAGAGATGTTTTGAAGATAGATCCAATTCCATTCTAAAAGTCAAATGGAATTATATAGTATCTTGTTATTTTTGGTGTAAAGAGATAGGCTTAGAAGATATAGATCAACTTGTGGATTTATTAGGATCACTGTAAGTATTTCTTTTGTTTCTGTTTGCATCTTTCCGAAAGTCTCCAGCATGTCCGTAATGCGACATGCTGAGGAATACAATATTACCAGTTTCAAATTTTTTTGAGGGGCTAACTTTTGCTTTGTTAATGGCAGTAGTTCACGATTACCTTCTCATGTTATGTAGGGTGCTCAATTATTCTTCGTGCTGAACAATTTGGAGTTCTTTTCAGGCTTACATTGTGAAATGGTAAATTTATCTCGTTTCTTGATTCTCTATTACTGTGCAGTTTTTCGACTTCCTTCTGGTTGTACAGATCAGAAAAGAAAGTATATGATCCTTCTTTATTCATATTTTTGATAAATGGAGGAAAAATATTTATACTTTGTATGGATTTCTTGTTCAATCCCGTGTAGGACAAACATCTTTCTGAAGAAGATAGTGACAACATTGACTGGGATACTGAAGATGAGTTAGAAATACAGGATACAACATTTTCCTCATGCAGGGATTTAAGAACTAATGGACAGTATGCTATTAGTGGTGATGGGGAGGTAAACGCTTTTAGCCCATATTGATACCCTACTGTTATTTCTTGTCAAGAACATCTTTTTTGACACAAAAAAAGAAGAAAGAATTTAGAAAATAGTTAATACCATTGCATCTCAACTGATGGTCTCTTTTGGTCTTCTCTTGCGTGTGAAGGCAAGCTCATCATCAGTACCTGGCCAGTCTACGTTCATTCAGAAGTTTTTAGTGATGGGATTTTCTGAAGAGTCCATTGCAAAAGCAATAGAACAAAATGGTATTTGGATTTACCAAGTATTTATACAACTTAAAAGTCGATTTTACAGTTACGGTATTTATGTTACTTGACTTGGGACTGCAGGAGAAAATTCAGATTTGGTGCTGGATTCTCTTTTGACATTAAAGGTGCGGAATGTCTTCCTCTTTATTTGCAAGCTACTCATTTTAGATTTTGTAGCATGTTTGCAAGCTGTTCATTTTTTAGATTTTGTAACAAAGGGTAACTATGTGAAGGGAATGAAGATATTCTTGTTCAATTCATCCCTCCTTTGGTAACCAGCTCATCTAATAATTATTTATCAAGATCTAGAAAATTATTAACATGGAAAGAACCCATTCCTTGTGTATATAGGAAAAGTTTAGAATCCCTGTAATTTTGTAAATAGGAATAGGAATTCTTAGGACTTGCTTACTTTTCCTTTTTTTTTTTTTTGATGACAAGGGAAACCCGCAGCCGCTACCATTTGGGTGCGCACAGGGTAAAACCCCCGCTCCTATGCAATAACTCGCAAACCACATAGGAGAGGTAACATACACTAGGCAAGCCCAGTGTGACGAGCTCGACCCAGAAGGCAAATCCCTTGCTTTCGCTGGCAAGGGGTTTCGAACTTGAGACCTCCAACATGAAAGTCCCAAGCCCAAACCACTGGGCCGCCCCGATGATTACTTTTCCTTTTAAGATTACTGTAAACACTATATGAACCCCAACATGCTTGAGGGAATAATCAAGCAATTCGTTCCCCAAACTCTCTTCCTTCTCTTTCCTTCACATGGTATCAGAGACTCTAAGATCTTGGTAGAGACTCAAATAGCTTTTGTAACTGGTGCCTGGCCACTCATTTTTTTTTCTTACTTTTGGTGTCTAGCACAACTCCTCTCTCCAGCAATCGGTGTTCCTCTCTGCATTCAAGCACTGTTCATCTGTTTGGCGAACGGTTAGGTGCCACTATCTGTTCAGCTACCGGCGCTACTACTTTTTGCGTGACCGACACCCTCCTCTGATATTGAATTTCTATATGAGCTGAGGGTTTGAGTCCCTACTTTGAAATTTCTGTTATTAGAGCCAAGAGTTAGGGTTTGAGTTCCTACTCTGAAAATTCTGTTCCTCTTCTAATGCTTCCTCTAATTCTTTTTCTGCTAATGAATAAAGGTTCTCTCTTGTCCAAAAGTTGCTTCCTTTTGTTTCAACTAGAAAAGACCATTTCCTTTCTCGGAAAAAAATCTTCTTTTCCTTCAGAATCTCACGCAAAAACAATTTCTTCTTATTCCACAAAACAAAAATGACTGGTGCTTCAGACCAATAGAATAGGAATCCTACCTTCATTGTATGTAAAGGATCAAACACCTCATTCTGTTACCCATTTGATATGTGACAATCAAGCTGCAATCGCATTGCTTTAAATCCAGTGTTTCATGATAGAATGAGACATATAGAAGTAGATTTTTTTTGATGCGTCAAAAGATTGAATCGGGGTGCATTGTGACTGGTTTCATCAACTCAAATGATCATTTAGGACATATTCTTACAAAATTACTTTGTCGCTCTAGAGTTCAGTTTGTGACATGTTAGGAGCACACAATATGTATGCTCCAACTTGGGGGAGTCTTAAGCACTAGGAAATTATTAATATGTCAACAACTCATTCCTTGTGTATATAGGAAGGATATAGAATTCCCATAATTGCTTAAACAGGAATAAGAATTATCAGGACTTACTTTCCTTTCTTTTCTGGGATTACTTGTATAACACTATATAAATCCGAACATGCTTGAGGGCATGGTGCAAGTCATTCCCAACTCTCTTCCTTCTCTTTTCTCATGCCTATATATGTCATCACTTGCTGAAGATGGTCTAGTGAGAGAAACTTGCTAACTTGTTCAGAACAAAGTTTAGACGAGTCAGGGATTTTGGTGACACCTATTAGGACCCCTGAAGAGATTGTGCCATGTGAACATTGGATTCTAGATGTTGATTGTGTGATAAACGATGCCAGTTGTTCTTTACCTGGTTTTCACAGCTCTGGTAGCAAGGTTGTATTGTGTTGAGAATGCTTGATTTTTGTTTTTCTTTGTAATGATGGTTTTCTTCTGTCCATTTTTTCACAAGTAATGACCCTTTAATACTAGCAAACCCCCTCTATCTCCAAAAAGGGGAGAGTAAATAAAATAATATAATTATGTTATTATTTTTGGAAAAAGGTAAGAGTTTTATTAAATAAAAAGGCCATGCAATAAGCTAGTTTGTGTTACCAAAAAAAAGGATGACGTCTTCTTGCAACAACAGAAGCAGCGTAGTCCCACAAGTGGGGTTTGAGGAGGGTATGATGTACGCAGACCTTACCCCTAGCTTTGTTGGGTAAATTGGTAGAGAGATTTTTTCCAATGAACCCTTTGTTCTACAACCTGAAAATACACCTTAGAGCCAGCAGGCGTAAACATCTATATTTCACCATCTATACAAGGATTTTTTTGCTCTCAAAACATCTAAAATTTCTTTCCCATCATACTACCCGACATATGCATGGAGGGATGGCGTTCCAAAGCTTATTCATTGGTCTGCTTATGCCCTATATACCCAACTTGCCAATAATTCCTGAACTGACTGCAACATCACCCAAGACCTCCCAAACAGGGAGATGAACAAACTCCAAAGCTGTCTAGCGCATGATGAATGCAAAAACAAGTGACTGCCATTCTCTTCCTTCTCGTTACATAGGAAACATCTGGTTAACATTGTCATTTTCTTTTTCTTGCGAAAGAGTGCACATCGTCATTCTCTTCTTTTAAAGATTGTATTGAGTAGTGGAGAAGGGTAGAGGGGCGGGCCCATTATCCACCGAGTTTAGAAGGCTGTGATTGGTCCAAAGGGCGGGTCACAGATGGATTTCTCGGTTATCAAAAAAAAAAAAGATTGTATTGAGTCAAACAAGCATCATGTGCTACCTCCCACATAAAGCAAGCAGCTTCGTTAGGTGTTTGTGTGTTCCATATTTTCTTCCCTGGCTAGTTAAAATTGCTTTCGTTTCTCTTATTCAGCCTCATGTAGCATGACTTAATTGAGAACTTCATTCTTTTCTGCTCTACCCAGAATAGGGAATCTGTTTCTTCAGGTAATAATTGACGCTTGTTCTAGTTCTTGCAAAAGTAACCATCATAGGCTTAGGTCGCAGGTTCAAGCCCCACACCATGCAAAGCGAAGCCCGGTATTTAAGTGGAGAAGGGTAGAGGGGCGGGCCCATTATCCACCGAGTTTAGAAGGCTGTGATTGGTCCAAAGGGCGGGTCACAGACGGATTTCTCGGTTATCAAAAAAAAAAAAGTAACCAGCATGGGTACTTCCCAATCGAAACAGTCCCTTTTGATGTGAAGGCACCAACACCTATTGTTTCTACAATCAAATACTGTAATCCTTGCATCCGCTCAAAATTTATGCAAGTTAGCATATTTAACTTTAAGAGGGGTGTGCCTATCCATGAGTCCTGCCAAAATTTTGTTCTTCTGCTTCTCCCACTTTGATTTCCACAGTGTTCAAAGTTTGGCCATAGACTCTTGATGTATTTCCAAAGTCCCAAACCACGTGGAGAGTTGATCGGATTAGTGATCCATTCCATTTGACACCATGTTTGTGTAAAATCACCTCTTCCTAACCTGGCTTCCCTTCCACGTCTCCACAACCACTTCATCAGTAGGCTTTCATTATGCATCTTCAAATTCCTAATATCCGATCCACCCTCCTCTTTGTTCAGCAGCATGGCTTCCCATTTTACTAGGTGGAATGATTTTTCTTTCTTTGTTTCCACCCCACAAGAAACTCCTCCCAATTCTGCCCAGAGTTTGTCTCACCTTTGCTGGCATTGGAAAGAGAGAAATTAAATAGGTAGGTAATGAATCAAGCACTCTTTTTTTTGACATTGGTAACTGTTTCTATTTCTGTAACACAGTACATGGGTTGTACTGAAACCATATTTACAAAAGAACTCAAAATCTACTGTCCTTTCCTTATAATGAGTTATGAGTCTAAGACATCAATGATAGAGACAGTATCATTAGAGTATATCTGGTTACACCAAAAACATAAAGTCAAAATACAATTCATTTTGACTTGTTCTATAGTATTCTCCATAATCTCAAAGACTCTAAGGTTCCTCTCCTTCCATATTGTCCATCATATAGCTGCAGGTACAATTCTCCAGTTGTTTCTGTTTTTAGCGTGAAATCCTGCTTCTCCCCAACTGTGTAATGCTTCTGTGATTTTCCCTGGAATCAAGCACTCTATTGTGTGCTTTATTAGAGTTACTCTCCCACTAGGTATTGTCTTTTCCAGACTGCAAGTTTCCTTCCAAACTTTTCAAAAACCATCTCCCAAATTGAGCTTCTCTTGAATTTAGCCCCCAAAGGATTCCCAGGTAAGTGGTGGGCTTACCTACCTGACATCCTAAGTTATCAGCCAAACTTTATACATCTTGTACCTTGTTTACTGGGTACAAATAGGCAATAGGTCTTGAATAAATTTATTTTTAGCCCAGAAGCAGCCTCAAAGTTCAAAAGCATCACGCCTTGAATATCCCATTTGACTTTACTTTAGCCCCACAGAGAATAAGGTATCATCAGCATATAAAATAGGGGATATTTCCACCCTTCCTTGCATTCTAACACCACCTTAAAACTTCTGATCCAGTTTAAAGACATTGCTCTGCATATCATATTGCTTAATCCTTCCATAGCCAAATGAAGAGAAAAAGAAACAGCTGATATGCTTGCCTTGATCCCCCTTGAGATGGGAAAATCTCCTGGAGCTCCATTTTTATGATGATTGAGATAGTAACCGTGGATATACAAAATATGATCCACCCTATCCACCGTTCCCCAAAAACCATCTTCCTCAACAAGTTTAGCAAATATGCCCAATTTAAGTGGTCATATGCCTTCTCTATATCAAGCTTACACAATATACCAGCTTCTCTTTGCCTCTTCATTCCATCAAAACACTCATTTGCAATAAGTACAACATCTGCAGTTTGTCTCCCTTTAATAAAGGCGATTTGTTTGTCGGCAACCAGCTTCTTCATTATTGTTTTCTGCCCTTCTGCCAACAACTTGGCAAATTATTTTGTAGAAGCTACCCAGTAAGCTAAAGGCCTGAAGTCTTTCAGCGGCTGTGCACCTGCATTTTTTGGTATAAGAGAAATGGGGGAAGCATTGAAATTCTCTACCCTTCCTGTGTTGGAAAAAGTTGATAGCTCTTAGTACACCTGCTTTTTACTGACCAGCAATGTTTCTAGAAAGCCATGTTGAAACCATCTGGGCAGGTGCCTTTTCTCCTTCACAACTTTTTATAACCTCTTCTTCATCCTCCTTTGAGAAATGTCTTTGCAACCATTCATTTTCCTCAATAGTGATTCTTGGACACTCAACTCTGAATGATGGCCTCCAATTTTCAGTTTCTTTGTACAGATACTTATATAAAATCACTATCTCCTTTTTGATACCTTCCCGTGCTTCAGATTTATGGAAAAATCTGGTGTTCTTTATCACTGACCAGCGATGTTTATGGAAAGCCATATTGAAACCATCTGGGATAGGAGCTTATTTTCCTTCACGAATTTTTATACCCCTTCTACTACTTCGTCTGAGAAAGATCCTTGCGTGATTCTGGGACACTCAGTTCTGAATGATGGCCTCCAATTTTCAGTTTCTATGTACAGATCTTTATAAAAAATGCACAATCTCCTTTTGGATGCCTTCTGTTCTTCAATTATTTCATCGTTGAATATTTGCTTGTCAAACACGTTGCATCTCTTATTAACATTAGCAATTTTATGGAAAAATATGGTGTTCTATCACTAGCCTTCAGCCATAATAACCTGGATCTTTGCCTCCAGAAGATTCCTTCTAGCTTTGCCACCTCTTGTATTTCCAACAAAATTCGATCTTTCTCAACTAACTGTTCTCCAGTCAATTTCCCTTCTTCTCTGTTCAAGCATCTGCAGTTTCCTTAGCACATCATCCATCCTTTTCTCCATATTGCCAAAAGAATCTATATTCCACTCGTTTAATTTCTGCTTCAGTAGCTTCAGCTTGCAGGATAATACATAGTCAGGGAATCCACTTAATAGAAAAGAGTCCCATCATCCCTTTACCAACTAGAGGAAGCCTTCTGACCTCAGCCATATTGTCTCGGACTTGAAATACCACTTGTTTCCCTTCCAATTTCCACATTGCAACTCAACTGGGGAGTGATTTGAGATAGTTCTTGGGAGAGCATTTTGTTTGATATTCATGAATCTATCATCCCAATCTGCTTTTAACAAGAATCTATCTAATCTTGATGCCCGCAGCAGAATTTTCCCTCCTGTCCACCTGACATTGCTACCTCATAGGTGAGGGTCAATGAGCTATAATTCATGTATGAACTCTGAAAATTCATAGAAAAATTATTTTATCTGTTTGTGTAAACTTTAGTTATCAATCAAACTTTTTGTTTGTCTTGGATGTTGCAGGCCATCGAAGAGTCTCCTGAAGAACAGCCCAGTGCTAGCCCTCACCTGGAGCCCTGCATTAATTCTGATGATAGCTCTTCTGAATACAACGAGAACTTTCTGGATGATGTTTATGAGGAAGATAGTTGGTCCTCTGACTCAGACTACTGTACAGTACGTTATCCCCAATATACACCATTCTCCATTTCTCTTTTCAGTGTCTTACTGTGGCATAGAGTCAATCTGGTTTCTCTTTGTTCAAAAGATACATTTAGTGTTTTTTTTGTTTGGGCACTTTATTGATCTCTTTAACTCATTATTATGTATTCAATGTTGGTTTTATGGTATTTTTGAACACCCATGGCTTCACCTACTAGATTGAATGAGTAAAATGTGAGGTTTAATTTTATGAATTTGTGTAGAACTACAAATAAATTGAAGATATCTGTGGTTTTAATAACTGTCCTGAATTCTGTTACGCGTTGTCTTGGCACAAATATGTCAAACTTTTCTAACATTTTCCTTTTAAAATGTGTGATAGAATTCTGCTAAACAGTGCTATGTGAAAGAAGAGAGCAGTTCTTTGTCTGAAAAAGAGCAGACAATATTATTCCTGGCAAATATGGGATACCCAGTGGAAGAGGTTTCTATAGCAATGGAGAGATGTGGTGCGTATATTAAATTATATTCTGTCCTCTACATTAATAATGTTATCCGAGTCTTATATCTGATTAGACATTTAGTTTGGTTTTGATATGTATTTATATGCTAAGGTTTTATCATTGGCTGAAGAAATCTTATTCATGCAAGTTATATGGTAGGTGCTACTAAGTTGAGTTATCTTTGTGTCAATGCTCTTGCATTTGGAAGAAAACCTGATTATTGACACTGCAATATTCCTGAATATCTTTTTACAATTGCAGCACCTATCCTGATCTCATTTCCAGGTAATTAATGTCCTCTTTACAACTTTCTAGGTCCAGAAGCATCGCTTGCTGAATTGACAGATTTCATCTGTGCTGCTCAAATGGCAAGAGCGGAAGATCCCTATTTGCCAGAAGATGTAAAGGTCTGCTTTCCCCTCGCCTTATTTTGCAATGGACTCGTGTAAATTGACATTCTGTTCAACTTTGTCAAAATAGCAATATTATTTTTCATAGAATTGATGCCTCACTTCCATTGCGACAGCCAAAACTGAACCATGGTAGTGGTGGATACAAGAAGAGGAAGATGTTCAATCAATTGTGCAAAAGCAAAAAACCAAGGGCGATTTTTGATGAAGAGACAATTCGTTTGCCCAAACCTATGATTGGATTTGGGGTTCCTACAGAATCAGTTCCTGCAATTATCCGAAGAACTATTCCGGAGCAAGCTTTTGGCCCCCCTTTTTTCTATTACGAAAATGTTGCTCTAGCTCCAAAGGGTGTGTGGGATACCATTTCCAGATTCCTATATGATATTGAGCCTGAGTTTGTTGATTCAAAGTATTTTTGTGCTACTGCAAGAAAAAGGGGTTATATTCATAACCTACCTATTGAAAATAGATTTCCCTTGCTTCCACTTCCCCCACGCACCATTAATGAGGCACTTCCCCTAACAAAGAAATGGTGGCCATCTTGGGATCCACGGACAAAGTTAAATTGTTTGCAAACAGCTATTGGAAGTGCAAGATTGACTGATAGGATCAGGAAAGCTGTGGAGGCCTTTGACGGTGAGCCACCTATGAGGGTGCAAAAGTTTGTTCTTGATCAATGTCGGAAGTGGAATTTGGTGTGGGTTGGGAGAAACAAAGTTGCTCCTTTGGAGCCAGATGAATTTGAAATGCTATTGGGGTTTCCAAAGAACCATACCAGGGGAGGTGGTATAAGTAGGACCGATAGATACAAATCGCTTGGTAACTCATTCCAGGTTAGCCTAACCTTTTTTGTTCTAATTTTCACGTGTATATCCAAGTCTTGATGTAATCTTTTCTTTCTTTTGTTTTCTCTTAACCACAATTTTTTGCTGAGATCATTATGCATCAACTGGCTTAAATCCTATAATTAACATAATAGATTAGTTTAAGCTGATTAAAAAGCTCACTACGTATACCAGTTTTCAAACAAAACAAATTATACTACGTAATGTAGCTTTATTTTTTTCAGAAGGGGAATGACATTGGTGGTATTTGAAATTTTGAACAGAACATTCATCGACGCTACAATTTCAGTGTCATCTTAATTTTCTAAAATTTCTCTATTAAGTCGAGGGAAGTGGATGAATTGTTGGAAAAAAGAGGTAGAGAACCTATATAAAATGAAATGAAGATGCATAACTGGTGCTGTTGAATCTACAGTTAAGGGATATCACTAGCTCTAGAATATGAGTTCTGGGACTTCATGGCTTTGAAGCACACAAGTATTGTAATGTGCTTTTCCATGGGTATCTGGTAACCATGTGTGTAGGGGCTAATGGGCGATTCGTCAGCAAAAGGACTAAAAAATCTTATATTGAATATATTTTTTTGGGGGTGGTTGGGTGGAGGGCCTGTGAATAAGGGGAAAGGGAATCCCGTGGGTGAGATTTTAACCATGAACTACTTGAGTGTTAGATGAAATTGCAACACTAGGTTACAACACCAGTGTTGTCTCAGTTTAGCTTTATTTTAGATGAAGTAGTAGATTTCATTGAAGGCATCAAGCAGATGCAAATAGTACACAAAAGAGTGAGATCAAAAGTGAGTTTGTTAGCTCCATTACTGCGAGCCCTAAACTAAAGATAAGGTGCTAACAAAATCCAAAAAGTTGTCTGGGGAGTTTACAGGGGACAAATTACTCTAGCTATACAGTAAAATAAGACACAGCCTCGAGACTGTGATTAGGAGTTGCTATTCCATGAACATCTACGATCTTTTCTATCCAAATACACCAAAAAATACAAGCAGGGACCATTTTCCAGATTTTCCTAATGGCTCTACCAACCTTCCAAGTACTCCAGCATATGTAGCATCGTTAATCCTCTCAGGCATAACCCAACTGAGCCCAAAAACTGAAAAGAACATATTCCAGATATCTGTGGCAACTGAGCAGTCTAGTAGTAGGTGACTGTTGGTTGCTATACATTGTTTGCACATGTAGCATCTGTTGACAATAGCATTTTCCTTCTGTTTAGATTATCTTGAGTCAAACATGCTTCGTAGAGTGCCGTCCAAGTGAAGCAACTCACCTTTGGGGGTAATTTTGTTTTCCAAATTAGTTTCCATGACCAGCTTTCCTCCATCTCATTCTGGGCACAAAGAGTTGAGTAGCCTGTTTTGACAGAGTATAAACAATCAGCTTTGTGTTTTTGTGTTGTCCTTTCTGTTTCTTGGAGGAATGAGGTAATTAAAAGGATTGATGTAACAAGGTGACACATTTCCTGTGACTTCAGCTTCTGTTTTCAATTATTATATGCAACAAAATTGTTTAAACATATACAATGGTTGACCACTTCTTTATAATGAAGAGAAGCTTTGTCCTCAAAGGAATCATTGATTGTTTGAAGCATATGAGAGACAATCTGGAAATTTCAGTCTTACCCTGGTGCAACACTTAGTGTGAGGTTTGCTCCAACGGTCCAACCTCAAACCGACAAAAAACACTCCATCATAGAGAACAACGGTTGGAAAGAAGCTGTGTTACACCTGTTATCCCTCATTGTGCAATTGTGAACTCTATGGTACCATATTTTGATAGTTATAAGAGGAGTTTTAACTTTAACGCACTAACCAAAAAAAGGAGCAGTTTTGCACTGGCTATGTCCCACAAATGATGTGTCTGTAATTGTGGTGGTTGACATAATGTAAAAGTTAATTAGCTGAACTGATGAGCAAAGCAGTTGTCCCTCTTTCATTTTTGGTTTTTTTGTAATTTATCTATTTAGTTATGGTTTTCTGGGGTGGAGTGGGGTGCAAGAGTGACTATTCATTACTAGTAAACATCACTACGAAGTCTTTTCTTTTCCTCCTTTCAAGAAAGACGTCGTTTGTTCCTTAGCATCAACATATAATGAACTCTTGTTTTCAAAAATCTAGAGAAAGAAAACCGAAAGCATGACTTGATTAAGTTTTTTTTGTGTGTATACCTTTTCCAAAATTAGTCCTCTTCTGGAGTTCTGACATTCCTGGGAGGCATTCAATGTTTTGAGAGTGTGCAGATGAGTCAGCTACAGGGAGTTGTAGCTTAAACTAATCTTGAGTTGCTGAATGATTGTATGATTTGTGTACATGCCTACTTGGGTCCTTGTAGTGGTGAACTGGTCATAGAAGTGGAGAAGGAGGTGGAGGTAGGTAAAGTGAGAAGGGATGATAGAAGCTATGACCCTATCTTAGCTATAAATATCTAAAAGTTTACCAGTCATACGCTCTATGCTTAAAAAGTTGATAGTAGTAAAAGTTGTTACTCTCTGTTAGCAAACAAACACTTGAGGAAGTTCTTTGAATAGGTTGAACATCTGATCCAGTTAACCTGTCTTTACTGATTTTGAAAAAGACATAGCTCTATATAATGAGGACGTTTTTTTGATTCATTTGGACGGTATTAGCTTCTTTTGCAATAGTATCCTGTTGCTCTCTCATCGCCACACTATATGGTATTCTGGTGCTGCCTCAATAAGGTCTTGTCTCTTTCTTGTTTCCTTTTCTTGGTCAACATCATAATATCCCCTCGTCTTATCGTCTTTACCAAATAGTATTATTGCTTGGGCCATACTAGATCACTTTCTCTTTTAAATCTTCTTTCGGTGGAAAGATAAATTGTTGGTGATTTATGATCCTTATCCTTGGATGTATTGAGCGGAGGGTCTATCGGAAACAACCTCTCTACCCTTCAAAGGTAGGGATAAGGTTTACTTACATTCCCCACTTGTGGTAATACACTGAGTATGTTGTTGTTGTATATCCAAGTCT